GTCAAAATGTCAAAAGACTGAGATAGGTTGAAAAAAAGAAAACACAAAAAACCTTAAAGGCATTTGTGCAGTCCTCAGCCTTACAAATCTTTGGCTCACATAAAATACTTGTGACATGCTGTAATTAACTAGTTACTCCTCTCAGAATGAATAATAATGTAATTATTTGCCAAAAGCAGTGAAGAAAGGATAGTTTCTGTTTTTCAAAATGTGTGCCTTTCATTTCTGTAGACTGAAAAACCCTGGATTAAATTATATAAGCTGCTAAAGCATAGAGTGACCTGCAATTTCACCATTACACTATATGATAATTTTGTCACCTTTTTATTAGAAACTCACATTTTCCAATGGTTTGAAGTAGCAATAAACTGACAAGTTGCTACCAGTTCAAATTATATTGGTGCCTACAACTGCCCCCAAATATCACAAAATGTAAGTAGTAGCTTAGCTGGTAAAAACATCTCCTTGTCACAATTGGATAGATGCCATTGAGGTTACTAAAGGCTATTGCTTTGTCTCCTTTGTCTGTGCAGACACAGATAAAAGAAGGACAGTGAGCCTTAGGAGCCTCCTTCCCCTCCTCTGAAGAGCCCACATGTAGCAAAAAGCTTGGTGAGAATTTTCATGGGCATATCACTGGTTGTCTTTCCTAGGTCTTAATGTCTAGCACAGTGACTGTTTTCTTTAATTCTTTCCAACTCCATCCTCCATTCTCTCAGTAATTCATTCAAGGAGCATTTATTGGAGGTCTGCTGTGATACACTGTACTAGGTTCCAGGAATTCAAAGATAGATATGACCCTTTGCCCTTGAAGAGGTTGAAGAAAAGTAAAGATGTAAATTAGTAAATAGGAAATTAACAATGCAGTAAATGCCACCATGAGGTAGGTATGAACCCACTCTCATACACACATACAAAAATTCATTCACTCATTTAAACACATAAAACCCTCATGAGTATTTTGAACCAGAGACTTGGAAAAGATTTATTGCTAAAACCCTCCAATTTTGAAATTATTCAGCAGAGTCAGTTGGGGTATATGTGTGTATATGTGTGTGTGTATAAGTGTGTGTTTTTATGTGTAGCCAACTTCTTGTAGCGTTTTATTTAAGGATAAAATTTTCTAAACAACTGATGTTTTAAGTAATCAGATTATTTTAATACCTATAAGACTAGTTACTCATTCAAATACCAGATATTAGTTCACAATATCATGAAACTAACATTCACCAATATATCCCAGTTGTACAAAGAAGTTTAGATCACTTGTTTGGGAAGACAGAGATTAAGAGTCAATGTGATTTAAATTTATAAGAGTATGATAAATATTCCAAAAGCAGACATAGGCTTGTTTTCCAAATCCTATTTATCCAAAGTATTTCTTTAATTAGTTAATGGTAGGAATTTGGCTCTATCTTGTTTTCTCTTGTACTTTCTGTATGTACAACAGCGCAGGCTATGATGTCAGACTGCCTAGATTTGAAATTAGGTTCTTCCCTTTACAAGTTGTGTGATTTCTCTAAGCCTCAGTTTTCTTATCTGTAAGATGGAGATAGTAATAGTAGCTTCATTTCTTTGAGAACATAAAATTATTTCTGTATTTATTCATTTTATTTAGTTACCTATTCAACATGTAGTTATTGAAAGTTTAGTGTGTGCAAAGTATTGGGCAGAGTGGGGAATGCACAGATAATTCAGCCACTCCCAGTAGAGGTCAAGATGGACTTAGAGTCTCAGACCATAGTCCTGAAATCCTGCATGTTTTTCTAATAAAATAAGCCTAATAGACTTGGATACACAAAATATAGTAAATAGTGATTATATAGACAGAGCTCATTCATATTATGGGAATATAGAAATGGTGGGTCCTTGGTAATCCAGTCATATTTTCCTTTCCCCAGACTACATAGTTTCCAAGACATTTTAGCAAACCTTTGAAGCTTCTTCCATGTATTCAAAAATGGAAAAATACTTTTCATAGATTTCCAATTTCCAATGATTGCTGAGATTCACAAGCAAGTTTTTTTTTTTTTTTAAATTTACTCTTGCATTTATTTAATATGTGCAATTCCATAGAGTAGGGAGGAATAAGGGAAATATAATGAGGGTATGCAATAGAGAAAAAGACCAATATAATTCATGCTTTCATGAAACTTATAACCAGGAAAACTAAACCTTACTTTCACATCAAGGAATCTATGTCTATGTCCTCCTTTTGAGATGAGAATAAAAATGCCAAATGTCTATACTTTTTTCATAGCCGTTCCCTGAAAGGCTTTATTTGGGGCAGCAAGAGCCAGGAATTTCCAAAGGGGAAACAAATCTTGAAAGGAGGCCTTGAGCAAGCAATGCAAAGAAAGGAAGGGGAAGAGATGGCAGCGGAAAACTTGTGGGACCAAAATCAGATTAGTCAAATTGAAAAGAAAAAAAAACAAAGAAAAGGAAACAAATTAGCCAACTGGAAAAGGAGGATCTTGTAAAGTAGCCTGAACGATTGATTGTTCAATTTGGTGCTATGGCTTTAATAAGTGAATTTTTCACTGAAACATTGATTCTAGCCAATTCAACTCAATCAAATTTTTTCTTTTCATCTCTATTCTCATTTCACCATTGTGTTGTGATATTAAATAGGTTTCTGAACTGCTGATTATTTTGGGTCAAGATATATATGGTGTACATTCCTGAATTTCTTTGGACTTAACTTTAGTACTTAGACAGGTGAGAGAACATACCATTCTCTCTGTTTTGTTGCTGCTAACAGGTAATTTTTTAGTAGTCTTTCCAGGAGGTGGTCCTTAGAGTGTAACACAACAAACAGTTAAAACCTTAACTGACTTGAAGGCAAAAGGAACCATCTTTTTTAAAATGCAAAAAGTCAGTCTCCTTACCCCTTCTTTATTTAATACCTACAAATAGTTGAGGCAAGCCTGACCTACAAAGCCACTTCTCCAAATCCACTCTGAAAAGGACCAAAAGCTCTTTGACCATGGAGACAGCTCCTGATCTCAGATTTTTGGATGCCAAACAAGAATCCACGGAGGTAGCAATGTCGTGTTCCAGTTTCTGTCATCACATGGCAACTTCATGGCTGGGGTAGGAACACCGCTGCTTCAATGAGCTAAGCATTTCTAGATGGCTACCATCTGTCCTAGCTATTTGTTCCTAAATAGGTGAAGGTAAAAATAACCAAGTGTTCCTAAAGCAATTTTCTTACCCCCCCCCCAAAAAAAAAAAAAACCAAGTGCATTAGCACATTTCCTACCAGCATTTTTAACAGCAATCTAGGTGATTCTGATACAGACGGTCTAAGGACTACACTTTGAGAAGCACTGCTGTATAGACAAACCCTCCCTCACTCAGTCAACAAACTGATGAAGCAGTGATTCCCAGGAGGTGAGTCTGGTGACAGCATGACCACCAAAGAATACAGAATCCTAGGCTTTGCCCCAGATTTACTGGGACCCAGGAATCTACTTCTGAATCTGTATATTTAAAATTCTCCAAGAGATTCTTATAACACAGTCTGTGTTATTAGAGGAAAGGGGTTGGGTTTTAGCTTAACACATCTGAGAATGGGTCCTTGTTCCACAATTTACTAGTTCTCTGCTCTATATAATATCTTTGGTCTGGAAAATAGCTGTTGTGAGGATCAAACAAAGCAATGAATGTTGAAAGCCCATGTAGTAAACAGTGTGTTATTGTTATCATTATATTACACGCCCAGCCCTAAGTAAGACATACAGAAGTGCTATGTGGATACGTGACTTCAAGAAGCATATAATCTATTTAGAAAAATAATATAAATATTAACAAAAATTTTAAATGAGTTTATATTCTAAGGCAGTAATATGTTTGCACACACACACCAAAAAAACCCACAATATTCTGAATAACAATGTAGATTGTAAAATACAGAGAATTATAAGAACATAAGAAAAAGTATATAAAGTTTGCTTTAAAATAGTTAATGCTTTTAGTTTAGGTGACCTAATTCTCATTAATTCACTAAATTGTTATTTCAGTTATAGAAAACTATTAAAATTATGAGTGACAGTCAACTTGTATTTATTATTTTGTTATTTAAAATGAGAGGTAGGGCCGGCCTGTGGCTCACTCGGGAGAGTGCAGTGCTGATAACACCAAGGCCACGGGTTCGGATCCCATATAGGGATGGCCGGTTTGCTCCCTGGGTGAGCGTGGTGCTGACAACACCAAGTCAAGGGTTAAGATCCCCTTACCGGTCATCTTAAAAAATAAATAAATAAATAAATAAAATAAAATGAGAGGTAGAAAAAGAGCAGTGTATATAGGGGGAAAGGGTCCATGGACTATGCCTGAAAAGGCCAAGAACCCCCAGAAATTCTATACAAACGGTTGTTTACATGAGGATGGGTATTTCTGGAGACAGATCTAGTTTTCATTTGATTCTGAAAGGGTTTTATGGGCCCCCATAATGTTAAGGATCACTGAAAGTTTCCCTTTGGCACATTTTATATGCACCCTTACTTATGCTGAAGAAATTTAACTACTGATTGCATTCTAAATAATTTACTTGTTTGCTTTCTCTTAACTTCCCTCTGAGTCATTTTCCTCAAGCTTTAACCACTCAAATACCCCGAGAAAAGAAGTAACAGGAAGGTTTCATTTAAGGAAACTCTAAAGCAGGGTTTCATGGCTACCTCAGCCTATTCACATTCTCAGGCAACAGCATAGAAGTTTATGTACATGTTTTTTAAAGTTCCAGAGCAGAGATTGACGATTATTTCCTGAGTTTTTCCTTTTCATTTGTTATCTATTGCTCAGTCGTTTGGATTATTTTTGATTAGTTTTCTGTTTCTTTTCATCTCAGATAGAAACTTGAAGAAATTTCCCTGGAAGGATACAATTCAATTTTGCCAACTTGAATTTTGCCAACCTAGCATTTCTTCCATTTGTGTTTTACTTATAATGTGGTAGCAACACTATTGATGTTACATATTTTCATTTCTTTCTTCCTTTAGGTGTGTGTGCAACATTGACTGTTCTCAAACTAACTTCAATCCCCTCTGTGCTTCTGATGGGAAATCTTATGATAATGCATGTCAAATCAAAGAAGCATCATGTCAGAAACAGGAGAAAATTGAAGTTATGTCTTTGGGTCGATGTCAAGGTAATGTTCCTACCAAAATTCATTTCAAAGAATGTTTTTAGTCTTTGTGCAGAAATGAAAGGTGAAGATAACTTCTTATCAGGCAGCTATTTCATTTCCAAAAGACAGTTCTGATTTACAATGGATAGTAGCGTCTAGTGTGGCATCTGTGTTGATTACAGGAGTTTGAGGGCCTATCGAGAAACGTCAATATCTTTTTCTGTAAAAAGACTGTATCTTCACAGTGCCATAAACACAGAAGCCAATATTCAGAAGGTAACAGACTTTCTTTTTGCAAAAGGGAAAAATGAAAGTCAAAAGCATTTTTAACAAAGAATTTAGGAATTTATTAGGCAACCTTGAAATTAAAAGCAAATCACTCCATTTTTATGTATTGATTCAGTAGAAATATTTTAATTGCATTTTTAAAAGCAGGATGTACTAGAATGTTTTATTTTGTTTTCTTGTTCAGAAACATTTTCTTAATTTGACTTGTTTTCTTACCCAATTTAATCTCAGTTATAATTATAAACCTTCTTCTTGTCCCAAACTTTAGAAAGCTTCCATCATTCTATTCGCTTTCAAACCGAAATTGGCATTATAAATCTGTGTTTGCATAAAGGTTGCTTAGAATTATAGTTGTAAAAATTCCTTAATTGCAATGAAGATACTGTTGGAAGAATAAAATAAGTTTAACATTAGATATTTAGGAAACAGTTAACCAATCTTTATTGTTAATTTTTTAACACAGATAACACAACTACAACTACTAAATCTGAAGATGGGCATTATGCAAGAACAGATTATGCAGGTACATAATATTTTTTACTACAAAACGTGGCACTTCTATAAGTACTGGGGAATCATTGTTTACTTTTCAGTCTAAAGTGAACCTTGCAAGTCTTCTGACATGTGCTGATCTTCTCTGGCTTATTTCAAGCTTTCAACAGGAAAGAGTAAATTTTTGCTGAAGCAAATGAGACACCCTTTTTTTTTTTATGCCGGAGTTAAAGCAATTGTCAAAAATGTCAGTAAGATATAATTAACTTGTTTTGACAGTACAAATGGTACAAATGACAAAACATTTATCAAATTAATGGGCATCAATGGAAATTAATGCAATTTTGGCAGTATATTATAATAAAGGCAAATGTTCTTGGTTGAATTTTCATAAAAGTCAACAATAAAAAAAGTTTGCTAGTCTCTGAAAAGCTAGAAATAAAGGACACCGACAAATAGTAATACAGGCTGTGTATTTAGATGCAAATTTTAAAAGGTATGTATAATTTATTTTTTAAAAATAATAAACTCCTTTAATTTATTTAGAAACTAAAATGTAGCTTCTTAGGCATGCAAAATTACAAAGCATTTTATATAAAAATGTAAATTTTATTTTGAGGAATATCTCTACCTAATATAATTTTTCTAGAATGAAAAATATCTTATGGGTATACAAGTGGAATTTTATCAGATTCTTCAATTTTATAGAAATTTGGGAAAAATATAAAAATAAAATTATTGATGTTGATAATGATATGTAAGGGTTTTTTTTAAAGAGCTTTTTACATAGCTATTAAATGTTTGTAACTAGATTTATGGCTAATATTCAATCAAAAAGAATTGCTTCTTACCTTTTGAAATATGTACTACCATTCATTCTTTCTTTTTGAAATTTCACTTCTTTTAACAATATTTCTGAGGTTACAATTACATACAGAATAAATATCTATAAATTTTTTTAAAAAGTCAGATGTTTTACTTATTACAAATCTCTAAGAATTTGGAAAAATAAAAGATTTTTTTTAATTTCACATTTTACTTAATGTTTTTCTACATGTAGATAAAACTTTTTATATGCTAGAAACCTAGAATTATCATGGACAATGATACATGGAAAAACATTAGTTCTATTATTACATAGCTGTTCCCAAAGCATCCAGGAGAGATATTAATAGATGTTCCTTAAAAAGAATAGTACAGTGGTCATTAAGTTTGGGAAGAGCCCAAATAAACAAATGGACCTTTTACCCAGAATTCCTTTCAGCTCTGTAATTCATTGTAAAATCTTTAAGAGATATTCATCTTTTATTTATTTATTTTTTTACTTTTTGTTGGGGAGAATTTCTAATATATGCAAAATACATACAAATGTAGTCTGGGTAGTGTAATGAACCCTCATGTACTCATCACTCAAACCCAGTAACATCAACCCACAGCTAACACAGCCCGTCCCACTCCCATGCTCTTTCCCTACTTCCATAAAATGTGAAAGTAAATCCTGGAAATCGCATCATTTCATTCATGAATACTTTATTATGCATCTCAAAAAGATCATTTTTTTAACAAAATCACAAAACCACAATCACACCTAAAATAATTATAAATTATGTTTTATAATACATAGCTTTTATCTAACTTATTTGATGTATAACACATTTTTTGTGACACGTTTGGAGTACTAGTGTTCCTGAGAATGCACTTTGGGATATGCTGATCCACAGAAATATTATTTACGGTAATAAAAGGTAATAATAGAAAATCGAGGTCTGAGGCTAATAATATATACCTTAAATTTTAAATAATATCCAATTTAAATTTTCTATTTTTATTATAAATAATAACTATATCTTAGTGGTATTGTAAGTCACTACTACTAACTGTACTTAAAATATCTGTGTACCTGTTTTGCAAACTAACTTCTTTGGAAAAGTCGTCAACAGTATAACATTCTATGAAAATCTTCCCCATTGAACCATCCATCATTGGACCTATAGTAAAATCAAACCTCTCCCTGAGGTTTTGTCCCTGAAATAAAGAATTCTTTGAGTTGATTGGCATCAATATGCAAATACATGTGCATTTATAAAATTGCACTAACACATATCATAATAGAGTTTACCCATCTTTCAGTATCATTCATATGGCATATTAACCATTTGTCTGTTTTCAAAGAGATTGGTGATTGAATTTTTATTCTGAAAAGGTTCAAATTTGTGTTTGGTTCAGATAATCTCTGATGTTCAGTGTCACTGTTTTTAATTGACATTGCTTCCTATCTTATCTCTTTAGTAGACATGAGAAAGAAATAGACTGTTTTTAAATACATGCAAATGAAAAAATTCAGTCACTCAGTGTGATTCAGGACCTACTAATTTGACATCAAATTTATCAAGTAAATCCCAAAGAAAAATTTTTAAGATAAAAGTAAAGTTTAAAAATACATGTACAGTGAAATCCAAATTTAAGACAGAAACAAAGATAATGTCAATTAAAGTTTGCAATTCCTAATCAAACATTGATTGCATACTTTAAAGTTTTCCTGGCATTTATTTCAGATGTCTGTATCTTCATTAAAAGTTTTATTGAAATACAGTGTAAATCCCTCTTTAGAAATTGTTTAAATAATAGTCACATTTCGTAACATTTCCAAGCTTCCAATAGTATTTGCAGCTTCCTGAATTTGGGGACACAAACATTGGAAAAAATAAAAGGAACCAAATGGAGAGTCAGTATGTTATTGTCCTCTTGCTTTCTGTTTCACATGCTAAAAACTCCCCAAGGAGGGAAAACGGAAACTTTGTGACTCACATTCCTAGAAGTTTGCTATGTGATAACAGTTCATTTAATGTTACAGCCACTTCCCTTCATGAACTCTCCCACCAGAGGAAAGTAACAATCACAAGGTTCTCATCTTTTCCTCATATGTTCTTAATACTATAGGTTAAAAACCCTTACCAATCCCTCCCCCCTTTTCCTTTGAGCCTATTGTAAAGCTATTATTAATACAAGAACACGTTTCTTTTTTTTTTTTTTTCCTTTTTGTCTTTTTTCGTGACCGGCAACGGATCGCAACCCTCAGTGTCGCGCCCGTACCGGACCAGGACCGGCAACAGGATCACAACCCTCGGTGTTGCACCCGCACCTCGCTCAGCCAGTGAGCGGCCGGTCTGTACGTGGGATTCGAACCCTCAGTGGGAGTGCCGCCGCGCTCCCAAGCGGCACACTGTAGCAGTGCACCACCGGGCCGGCCCCCCACATGTTTCTGATTATAAAAATGGATGTCTTCTTTTTTTTTTTTTTTTTTTTTTTTTTTTTTTTTTTTTTTTTT